TTAGTGTTTATTAATATCATACTTTTTCTCTATTTGATATATTGTTTAATTGGCAATTCTTAGAAGTTGACGCATGAAAGAGTATACACATTTTATGGATAACAACTTCGTTATTTTACTGAGACAGCAACGTTTCGTCATAGATCCTGTCTTGACAACAGTATAAGGATCAATACTGAAACATCGCTATGACGGTAATAATGACTTTGTTATCCATAAATTGGGCCTACTCAGCCTTAGTATATTTGTTGCATATTCTGATAAACAAGTTACATAAATACCTTTATTCCTCATTTTCTACATGATTTTTAACAACAATGTGTGTATATTCTACAGCTAGACATACATTCTCCTTCACCGTCAGCCCCGTGAAGATTCCGGGGTAGAATAGGTCTTCAGCAACCCATGCTTGCCGTAAAAGGTGACTATGCTTGTCGTAAAAGGCGATTAACGGGATCGGGTGGTCAGGCTCACTGACTTGGTTGATACATGTCATCGATCCCAATTGCGTGGATCGATGCTCATGATATCAATCACTGGATTGTCTGGTCCAGACTCGATTATTTACAGACCGCCGTCATATAGCTGGAATATTGCTGAGTGCAGCGTTAAACAACAAACCAACCAACCAACCAACCTTCACCGTCATATGCCAATCTCGTCTTCCATCTACACCCACCTACATAATTTTCCTGACCATGCCTAGTTAGATTGTAACAAAGACGTGTGACATTAAAAAGAAGCTGTTATCCTATAGACTGGTTCCTAGCAGTCTTTGTGCAGCGTATTGATGGGTAGAGATGTATTCCCTTCATGCATTTATAACTTACAAATCTCTTAGGGCAGTATTGCTGGTGTTTCCACTTTGTTTAGCATCCATATTGACACCGCTAATAAATGATCTAATTTGGGGCTTACTACCCCAGTCAAAGATATTCATTTCAGAAAAAACATAAATAGTAAATGTGATCTCATATTTTCAAACATATTTAAAAACAGTTGTGTATTGAGACCAAAAAATAAACAGCAAAGTTTTATTAGATAAACAAAAAAAATGCTAATCTGATATAGCATTTACAATCAATTTAAAGAACAGTTGTGAACTGAAACACACTCACAAATAACGAATTAAAATAAAAATAGACAAGGGTGCTTAATTCTTAAAAGTTCAGATTCCTGTTCAGAACCTGCTGGAAGTAAAGCCATTAAATCCATAGAACCATGTGGCGTTCATGCAGGTTCATTCATGATAAGCTTCACCCTTCCACACTGAGGTACGCAATGTACATTCATGAACAAAATACTTTATCTTTGCATTCAAAGCAACAAAGATCTTACCAATGAAATCTCAGTAGGTTTTGTTAAATTAATTAGTACTTCACCATGTTAGTGCAAAATGTCTCAAATTTTAAATTAAATTAAATTCAAATCTCATTAAAATCAGATGTTAGTTCTCGCAACCCCCAAACAAAGATCTGTGGACATCCCATTACGGGTCATGTCATACCGACCTTAATGTTTGTGATGACCATGATGACCATGATGACTTGTGAATATGAAGGATCACAAACAACTGTAAACAAACCACTACAAGTAACCCTTGAGGTTAGAAAAACAGGAAAAATTCAACACTCACAGATAAAACAGTGAAGATTTAGTAAATTAATCAGTGCTCCAGATCAATTGTTTGGTGCGATTATAGAATCATAAAAACAGTATCATAAAAACTTGATATGTATGAAGAAATGGTATTTAGTTTTGGAGAAATCATATTTGCGTACATACGTAATACATATCTACAATCCTTAAGGGTTGTCTTTGCTATATGGTCAAGGTAGTTCCGCAAACACCCCCCCTACCCCCCACCCCCCCCACCCACCCCCACCCACCTGCCCATTAGCCACTGGATGCTTTTGAATGAAAAAAAAGGTGAACATATTCCTTAGTGTAGCCAAATATTTTACTCTAATTTAATACATCTGATGAGACTCATTTCATGTTTTGGGTGGTATTCAGTATATTTGCACTGCTTTGCTCAGTCTATCAAGTAGTTTTAAGCCAATGTGTAACAATATTTTTTTAAAACAATTCTTCCAAAATGTCTCCATCAGATGGCTTCAGCAATGTCCAAAACTTGTTCCTGTTTTCTATAATGGTGATTTCATGTTTACTTCAGTATGAGAACTCTACTTCCTTATTTCAATGATTGAACACTACTCTCTCCCAGATTTATCAATGTTAATTCTATACTGACAACACACATTAAAACTCCATTACGAACCTGATTTCCTTATCGTTGTGGTGACTATCTGAAAATAAGGCATTTGATTTTGACAGGTTATCCTGTAAAAAATACCAAAATGTTTTTTGTTACCCTTGTCCAAAGGAAACATTTTGGTTTGATTGATGTTTGAACTGAGTTTGTTTTCTACTGCTCACTCTCTGCAACAAATGTAACTCCTTGTGTAATGGTTTATATAAGCGTCTCTCTTTGTCAATTTTCAAAGCACCCAGGGTGCTTATTACTGAGAAAATAGTAGATGAGATCTTTTACTCCAATAAGATACTTTCCACATGTCCCAAGTGTTGAGGCTTCTAAATTCCAATGACTAAAGCATTTTGAGCAGAATATGTGATTTCTATATCATGAAAGTGAATTAAATAGACAGTTCCAAATGAACATAATAAAGGCCTGCTCTAATATTGTGGATATTTTATACATCTTGTCTTTCTGAGCTCTACGGCATCTGCACCCAGAAGGGAGTACAGTCAAAGAAATATTTAACTTCTGTTTGGGCTTTCCTTTGTTAAAATCAAAATTCCCAAAATGAGGTTGAAAAGTATTGAAGCCGAATCTTTGCATGAATCTGCCATATGACTGACCCTTCCATTGAGATTTGGAGGTCAAAGTTCTCTCAGGGTTCACAGATCTTTATGACAGGTATCGTACCGAAGTAAAAGATCTGGGCCCGTTACCATGGTTACACAAATATATCTTAGTGCTACGATGATCGTAAGCCTAGGTTGAAGTACTTTCATCTTAATGCTAAGATCGCTTTGTGGAACAGGTCACAGATAGGGACATACCTGAAACATAAATGTTTTTGTTGTTGCCTTCATAACAGCATTTATAAATAATTCAAGTCCGTCAACAAGTAAATATTTTCTGTCTCCTCAGTATGCTCAATGGGAGTTGTCTTACAGTTTGAAATATAGTGTGAAACCTAATCCTTTACAGTAATGTCGTCGGGAAAATCAAATTTCCAGGGTAGAAAATTATAGATTAATGATCCTATATACACTGATTTCTGGACAAGAACATCTGAAAGGCCGACCATATTTCGGACATTAGTGAGGTTTCCCAGTGTACACAAAACATGAACAAAATTAGCTTTTATATTGTTATTGTAAAGCGCAGAGATCTAATACATGCACATTGTATGTTCGAAGTGCTGCATTCTTATCATCTCAGTCATAGGATCAGTGAATACTCCATTTTCATTCTCATCTCCCTGGGGAGTATACAACCCAAGCTGCGTGAGGCATTTGAAGGTTAACAGTCCCTTTACCGTCTCCTATCCTACCGGGTACCCATTCAATGCTGGGTGAACAGATGCATATTTCAAACAGTCACTTGCCCAAAGGCCACATTTGAAAAAGTTACAGTTAACCACAGTTCTACGTTTTGGGTATCATCTACAGTAGATATATTAAATATGTCAGCATTCTGCATAATACTGTAAATCGTGAAATTAATACGTCTCCAAAAGAATGTGACCACTGGATCCTAGCCAAAAATGCGACTCAATATGAATGCGACACCCCCTCCTCTCAAGCATCAGTGGATTTCTATCTAAAGATGTCCTCAGTCAGGTTTAGAATCCTCACCTTAATCCAACCTTACATTAATCCAATCACACACCAAATAGCACCTCTTATTAGCACTGAGTAAAGTATTTCCGCAAAAACAATACATGCGCGCTGGCTCGTGTTAGCCTTTGACGCAGTCGCAAAGAACAAAGGGTGTGATCAGTGATGACATAAGTGAGTAGAACTCTTGTCTTGACCCCAGCAGTGACAATTCACAGGACGTAATTAGTGTTTGAATGACATTGTTTATATACTTTATATACAAGTGCTGCTCAATAAAAAGTGGTGTGGAATAAATCAGCGTATGTCTAAGTTGGTATTTTTGCTATCCAAAATGTCTTATTGTTGATATAAATGCGATGTTTAAAAATGCGAGCAAAGACCACTCGCATTTTTCGCATTTAATTCACGCTCGCATTAATTTCAAGATTTACAGTATTTGGAATTCCTTTTTTGGCAGTGATTTCAATTCCTGAAAACAACCTATGCAAACTACCTTTTATAGTGTGAAATAACGTAACAGCTTTGTAAGGCATTAATGTAATATTATAAAATGTTCATCCACGTCCAAACTCCTTGTCCCAACCTACACAGATCATTGCCATAAATATTTTAATTGATAAAAAACTCAAATGGACCACTAATTTTAGTTTGTTATAACTGTAATTAGTTATAAACATATATACATCATACATGTATAGGCTATACAGCAAATGCTTGTGACTAAAAAACAGTTTCTTACAATCGTTGAAATTTAGAGTGTTTGTTATAAACGTAGTTTACTTATACAGCGAATGGACGGGAGTAAAAAAACAGTTTGTTATGTCTGTTAATTCGCTGTAATTAAGTGTGTTCATTATAAACATACTGTTTGTACAGCGAAAGGACGGGACTAAAACAACAGCTTGTTATATCCGTCAGTTGGTTATAAGCGTGTTCGTAATAACATACATGCATACACATACATTCATACACACACACACACACATACACACACACACACATACACACATACATAGAAAGTATAAATATGTATAAGCATTGCAATCTTAGATCTAAGATCTAAGCTGTAGTGGAAAGACAATTAAGACAAATTAGTAATTAATAGTCAGCATTTCTCTAAGACTTACCTTCTTGTACATGAAAAAGATGTTATCAAATATTATTGTCACCAGGTCACTGTCAGGTATTGGGCAATAATCAATAATCAGTCACTGCGGAAATTTCCAGCGGCGCAGTTGCGAACAGGACACACTTTCCCAGTGTTTACATTCCACACCTGATCCATAATCACATTTTCATTTCATACGAAAACTTACAACGCCGACACGTGATCACTGACAAGGCTAGATTTCACTTCCGTGCGACTGTACACAATCATAACACCAAAACAAGACACGGGAGATCCTCACATGGTGTCACCAGGCCAATGTCTGGTTCGATTAGTGCGTGAACAAAACCATGTGTGATTTCCAACTCCAATTAAACGAGAAACATGTCTAGGCCTATAGGTTCACGGCACACAATGTCACCTTCAGTTATGACGGTCCATTAACACATGAAATTGTCTATAACAAAATCTACAAAAATACACCCAGTAGCGTGCTTGGATACGCACTCTTGTTCATTCATGTGGGACATGAAAACCGGATCACGTTAACCGAGCGAATATTTCCCATTCACTCCTGCCGTTGAAACCATACATTAAAATAAATCGGTATATTTGATTGCTTGTAACTTGTTGACATGATTTAATTCGAGTATATTGTATTTGTATGATGCACAGTGATCTTACAACTTTAAAAAATCCATTTAAGCTGAGTTTATTTTAGGTCTCATGGATCTATAAGGTTAGCGGAAAAAAATATTTGTCCTCTTACCTAATATGACACCGTATACGGCAACTAAAGAAACCATACGAATTGAGTCTGCCGAAAGGTTTTACTATCTGGTATCTTTATCGCACATGTCATGTCATGATACAAACTTACCACTGACAACCGGTTATAAATGACAGGACCAGTACCTATATATATGTTTCCGATACAACGTTATAATGCACTAAATGTGAACGTTTGAACAATTGTTATAGCTAAAACGGATAGAATATTCATAAAAATACCAGCATGTTATCAGAAATCTTCGGGCCACCGTCACGTGATTTATTCGTTGTAAGCATTTATTTCTCTATAATGTGTAATAATGAAGTCTGTAGTGCAACAATTGTTAGATTTGGGATAACACTTTCTCAGGAACGAACGGATCTCGTATTTTTGGGGTCGAGTCTCGTCCGCCAGCAAGGTCAACGATCTAACCCACTCAGCCACCGAGGCTTCCACAAAAATGAAAGTCCGACAACTGGTAGTCTAGATCACGTACTCCGTGTACCCCTCTGACAAGAGTAAAGCGACACGGCTCCAATGGGCGAAAGCTATGAACACACACTGCCATTTAGAAAGAGGTCAAATGCAACAAAAAGTTACATTTGGGATAACACTTTCTTAGTAAAGTACAGATTCTCGTACTTTTCTGGAGTCCCGTCCGTCCACTCCATTTTTATAACACTTTTTTTTATAAAGTCAGTTAACACCTTTGCCGCGGGAAGATTCACTCGATCATACATGACTAGGTCAGCTTCATCTTTCTTCAGCTGCTGTTATTAAAAATTCGATCGTTTCCGAGGCCAAGCGACTCGATCTACGTCATAAATTAATTTAACAATGGTTCCAATTGTTTTAAACTTTAAAATACCATACGCCCAAATGGGTGGGAGCGCGGGGTGAAGCAAAATATGGTACACAGCCCAGAAACTAACCTCACCATCCGCGCCAGACCCTATTTATAAATGGACCCACGCCATATTTGTTTCAGATAATGTTGTTGTTTTTTAAATCCATGAAATAATTAATTCAATACCGTAGTCAGTATAGTTATGACGAATCCCAACATGACTTTTAGAGAACTGGGACCAAGGGCTGATCCAGCAATTTAAATAAAGGAGGGGTCCAAAATACCAAATATTCACTCAGATAATTTTACTGTGGATCCGCTTATGGGGATAATCAGTTTCAAAATATGAAAGAGAAGAAAAGTGAAATAGCTTTATTCGAGAACGGACTTTCCTTAATTGGGGTTGTCAATGACAAAGGTTAAGTTATTTTACGTACGCTTCAAATACTTGCTTGTCCGTATTTTACTTGGTAGGTAAAGGGATGTGACGTAATGAAATCTTTAAAAGTGCTATTCTCAAGTTGATACGGATAATGTATAGTTACTAAATATAATATTGCTTGAAACACTGATAATTATTTTTTCTAGGGAGAGGTCATAATAAAATAAGACGAAATTATTATTTTGCAAGTACAAAAACGGAACTATTGTTCATACTTTGATGCCGATCATGGATTGACAAGCTTCGTAATTCCCAACTTTGTATAAACTGATTAACAGCCATTGTTAGCTTTTTACAAAGTAAACTTTCAATAATTTTTCTTTTGAATTTTCAATTAATTCAGATCAGATGTCTAATATTCAACAGATCGTGGAAGAAAAGCTCAAGAAAGAACTTGCAACGACGCATTTGGTATGTGTATCAACTGATTTATTGCCGTTTTTTCACCGAACAAGTGACAGTTCCGAAACCTAGCGGCAAAACCTATAGCTTTGAACGGGCACCTGTCACCAGCTTGTCACTGGCGTGCGTTTGACATGCATGTGTCAGTCGTGCCTACGATGCTACGTACTGTTATTATCACGGTCCGCATTTTACGCTAAATTGGAAAATAAGTAAACAGTAAAACATACCAGAAAATACACCACACACCACAATTGCAAGTGCATTTATTCCGTTTTTGAAATGGCAACGGTCGATATTGTACTACAGTCTGTCGTAACAAGCAGAAGCAGACAAGCATTCATAATTGCCATAGTCAACCCTCCAGAAAACTCTGTACTCAATACTAAAGAAAATGATGCACTTCCACCAGTAACACATTTCTCTGAGGACACCCAACCAAAGGATGGCAAACATGGATTCTAGACCTGACGAGATCCCAACCTATCCCTTTTGTTTGTTGTTTAATGTTGCACATTAATGATGACATGAAGAAATGGCATGAAACCATTATTGTAATACAAGACATTGATCAGTGTAGTGTGAACAGTGTTGCCCTGTGTTCGAACTACGCTCTTGCAGCAATGTTGATTCCTTTATCATTGTTAGAAACTAGCACTAGACCTGTAGTCCTTGCCAAACATGCCCAACAGTTAAGGTATCATAAGGACTAGAAGAAATGTGCCTTTTTTTAAGTGTTTTGTTATATGTTATTATTATAAGAACTAGTGGACTGAAAATGTTTGTTTCTGCCGCTGATTATATTGTAATGGTTATATCAAGTATAACTGTAGGGTACATGTATTGATATGATGATCAGACATTATTTGTGACCGACATTTGTCTTCTTTCCAGGATCTTGTAGATACATCAGATGGGTGTGGTGCTAAGTTCCAGGCTCTCGTTGTCTCACCACAGTTCGAGGGGAAACCTCTCCTGCAAAGGCACAGGTTAGGCAGACATATCACAGCATTAGGTCCAGCTCAACAAATACTCTTGTTTCTCGTGACTCTTTTCAAAACTATGTTAGGATTGTATTTTTCTATTTTAGTTTGTAAATTACTTAAAAATGTTAACTGGTAAAAGCTAATGAACATGATCAATTAAGGTTCCAGATAATGTTTTGCCACTGAGTATGTACAGTAAACTACGGTTATAACAAACTCAAAGTAGTTGATACACATGCAAGTAAGCAGTTATTCTGGATCTCTTGTCAATCCGGGGGCACGGGTGGCCCAGTCGTCTCAGGTGCCGCGATTGGCTGTGCAGAGTTGCGTCCCTTGGACACGCCAGAAACCTATGATTGTGGGTTCGAATCCCGGTTTCGCCCCGATCATGCATCACTTAGGGCTTTCCTCCCACATCAAGCTGACACGCCGCGATATAACTGTAATACTGTTAAAAGCGGCGTTAAACCCAACTCACTCACTCACTCACTCTTGTCAATCCTAGGCTCCCTTTGATCCAATGATGAATAGTCAAGATAATACGTAAGATATGTTTATTTCTCTTTTCCAGACTTGTGAATACTGTGATTGCTGAAGAAATGAAAACTATACATGCCTTCCAAATGAAAACATTAACACCAGAGCAATGGGCAAAGCAACAAGAACAAAATTAAGCAACAACTCCTGAACTTCTCTGACCTCATGACATCTGCTGGACATCATGCTGCATTGTCTGAAATATTTCGTCGCCCCTAGCTTCTACATGTCTGTCCATGGATCTTGCTCTAGCGTCTTGTTCTCTTTCATTATGTCCACTGCTTGAGCTTGAGTTCGAACGTCCTTTTGATGACTACCTGTAAGTTCGAGTGATCTGCTGCTTGCATTTCGTTCTACAAAACAATTTTGTGACCCCTGCCAGTTAGGATGAGGAAAAAACAGTTGAGCTTATGAAGTCTTCGCTTTATGAAGTCCTAACTTTATTTCCATAGTGATACCAATTATGAATTAGCAAATTAAATATTTCATACAGACAGTTGATTTTTTTGTCATTCCTGATTTGAAAGTTCTTTTTACATACATCTGATATTTGTGTGGTATATTTGAAAATGAATATGCAGAAGAGAAAAGATTTAACTTTAGCCGATAAGGTTCGAGTGCTGGAAGCGCTGAGTCAGAAAAAGTCCCAGACTTCTTTGGCAGCTGAGTTTGGTGTTTCCCAGTCTCAGATCTCAAGGATTGGCAAGAACAGAGATCTAATCATGGCCAGGTATCTGCAGACTGACAATTCCGACCGGAAACGGAACCGAGACGGAAAGAATGTGGATGTAGAAACAGCCCTGCTTCGGTGGTATGGCCAATCTCAGGCCAGTTCCGCTCCCCTCAGTGGACCAATTTTGATGGACAAAGCCAATGAGCTTGCCGTGAAGCTGGACGCGAGGGATTTCATCCCGACCACCGACTGGTTGCAGGGGTGGAAAGATCGTCACAAGGTTGGCTTAAGGAGGAGTGAAGTGAACTGTGAATCTGACGCAGACTGTGTAGAAACATGGGTGAATCAGATGCTGCCAGGAGTTCTCAAGGAGTTCCACCCGGACAACATATACTGCTGCAAGGAAACGCTGCTGTACTACAAGACCCTGCCCCAGTCAGACTCCACGGACTCCTCCAACCCTAGAATGACGGTCCTCCTCTGCTGCAACATGTCAGGGAAGGACAGAATGGTCCCCTATATCATTGGGGTGAGAAAGGAGTACGAGAAGAGCGTGATGCCGCCCTGTATTGTGAACAGCGACAACGCTCTCATGACCAGTCACCTGTTTACAAGGTGGCTGCTGGACCTCGATAAGACTCTGGAGAGGGAAGATAGAACTATCTGTTTGGTGTTGGAGAGGTGTGTGGTGCACGCTATAGACTTTCCTCTCAACAATATTAAGTGGTACTACACACCTGCTTCTAAAGTGTTCCAGCTCCATCCCCTCAGCCTTGGCATTGTACGGAACTTCAAGTGTCATTACCGTAGGGAACTGTTAACAGTGTTCGGGCTCCTACAGGGCAACATTAACACCACCACCAGCGAGAACTTCTTTCACAACTTCAATATGACAGCAGCGGTGGGTCTGATCGGCGACGCTTGGAGGAAAGTGACCAGCTCGACAATCGTCACGTGTTTCAGTATGGCTATGTTTACGTCCGAGGAGGTTGACCCTGCAGGGGTGGAGTACATCACAGCCCCGGAGAATATGACAGAGGAACAATTCTCGGCATATGTTGATATAGATTCTCAGCTTCCGTGCTTTGAGGAGCCTGAGTACTTGGACACTCTTCCGATTTTATCCTGGAATGAATATGAACACCCACACAAGGCAGCTTCTCCGATAGCTAGTCTTGCCGACTCGGATCGAACACTTTATGCAAGACCAGCAAAAGCAATAAAACTTGACACTGACTCTAAGCCTTCCATCAGGGCCAGTCTCCTTCAAGAAGTCACTGAGACCCGTCTGTCCAACGGCGTGGAGAAGAGTTTGAAGAGGCATCAGGAGGAGACAACTCCGACGTCAGATGCTGTCCCAAGTGCCAGTGAAGCTTTAGAGGCGTGTCGAGTCCTCCGACAGTTCCTAGAGCACCACGGGGTGGAGGACTTCAGTCCGTTCTATGAAATTGATCTACAGGTTCGATCAGTCATGGCTGCAGCAAAGAGACTGAAGCTCAGATCCAACCATTCACTCAAGTCCTGATTGTGTCATTGCTCACCAGTGTTGCCATTCATTGCACCTAATAGGGTGAGGCAGGAAATGGGTTGTTGCCCTTGATTGTTAAAAAAATGCTTTTCGGGATCTTCATGTTATAGAAACAACTCGTTGGAAGTATCATATTATCTTTTTCAGAAAAATATAAAATTCTCAGCAAACGCAACAGATTTTAATTCATGAAAATAACATCTCCTAATTTTATTTTCAATACTTGTTTAATATGAAAACAACTTATTTTTTTATTTTACAATATAACTGCCTCATTTTTGTAAATCTGTTAAGTGAAGGAGTTTTAACCTCCAATTTGTGTATACAGTTGAAAATTAACGTCAACCCTCCGGTCTGAGACAAGTCAAATTCAGGCAGGACTAGTGACACTTCCTTGTGGACTCCACTTTTACCATGTGGTAGATGGCAGCTCTGTAGCAGATCAGTTTTGCGGACCAGTGGAAGTAAATTTTAATATTCTGACTCTGATATCCGTCTACAAAAGCAAAATGAATCTCCACCCAGGGCTGCATGTATCTGTTGAAGTAATGGGAGAAGGTGTTGAATTAAACTCCACATTACACATGTGAGAGAAGATTCTGTTTCCTGCCTCACTATGTGCTGCCCATGCTAAAGTCATTGTAAATAATCAATGGACTAATATTTTTGCACTGTCACGGTTTGTTAACAAAGTCATTTAAATCTATGTTTTAGAGTTATTCGACTTTGTTCCCCTTTTACTTAATTTCCATATCAAAATTTTACGTTTTCTGTAAGTGTGAAATCAAAAGGTATATATCAGTGAACTGAAGTGATGTTTTCAGATGTATTTTTCTGCTGTTTGTGGTGTGAAAATATGCATAGAACTATCAATGCTGACTTCAACATATTCAAGACAAAATGATTAATTGTTATATTGTCTGCTGAAGAAAAGGCAGGTCATTGTCAGTATGAAGATGTTTGTAGTTGATTCTGGTCAGACCAGGGCCCCCAATAAGGCAGGTTGGTATCATAACTCGGTTTATGAATCCTCAAAGTGAGCAATTTTACAAAATGGAATAAATCAAAAAGTTATCCATTTCCCTGAAGCACAGGTGGCCCAGTGATCTAACTATTGTTGAGGTTACGAGTCATCTGTATGAGAACATTTAGGTGGCAGAGTCAATAGTTGGGAGTTGACTAAGTTCTGATAACAGATGTGTTTGTCTGTTCTGAAATATCTCACAAGATGTATTGGAAGTTTAGCAAGAAATTCACATTCATTGTCACGTCCCTTCCCTGATGTTCTGAGACATCTCCGGAGATGTGTGATCTACCTTGAATAGTGTCAGGAGAATGGCAGAGTTATATTCCTTAGATTCAATATGGAATATTTCAGATTGTTTAGTCTTTCTGAGTTATTTTTGAAAGGTGTTGGAAGTTAATATTTGGACATTAAAGGGATTTATCTAGGATTTCAAAATAAGTGCCATTGGCAGGGTTAGAAACTAACAGTTTTCGTCCACTAGTCATTATAATGATAACATATGGCCAAACCCTTAAAAAGGGCCAATTTCTACTAGTCCGTATGAAACGTTTACCACTGGGCAGTTTGGCAAGGACTACAGGACTACTGCGAAATTTCTAATGCTGATTGGCAGGCAAAGTGGTAAAAAACCTGAATTTGTTCAATATGTTCAAGATTGGGATTCTTTTCAGTTCTTATTGTCTGAAATTCAAAGGTATTGTAACATTACATTCAAAGCAATAATGTAAAACAAAGCACTGTAACATCTCCCTGTATATTGGTCGTCCATAAAATCCCTGAAAATCCATCAGTCATAAGTCATAATTATTAATGTATGTCATGACTTTGAATTTTTCTGTTCCAATCTGGGAATTTTTACTGACATTTTCTGCAGACTGGGGGTTGAATATCGGCATCTGACCAGGTGAAGATTAATCCCTGCAGTTGATGTGAAGGAAGTGCTGGTATTCTCCTGATTAGGAATACAGGCATCTTGTTTAGTCGGGACATGGGACCATGATGTTATGTTCATGTTAATTGGTTGAACCCCAGGACCAATTGCCAAAAATTTAAAGTAATGATGTATGAGGTAAAACATGCTTTACCATTATGAAACTTCAGCTTTGTTTAAGTGTACATTTCTCAGAATTCCTGATTTTTTTTATTCTTTGCTGACCAAACAATGAATGTGTTAAATTATTGTAGTTATTTGGAAGCACACTCACTACCTCCATGTTATGTATGAAACTAGTGTTTAGTCTAGCTTGTAGAAGTGAATGTTGTGGAGTTATCTCCCTTTGTTGTGATGGGGCCAATACAATTGAAAGTTATCTCCCTTTCTTGTTGATGGGCCAATCATTGAGAGTTGTCTCCTTTTGTTGATGTGGGGCCAACACAAGCCACATGCAGGGGAAAATGTATAAATACAACTGTATGCAGTTGTATTATCCTGCATGCTGTACATTTGACTAGGGTGGGTGTTTAAATACGTATGTTTATGCTTGTATTATTTGGGTGTTGGTGAAAAGTGTAGGCAGATGTCTCTGTTTGTGTTTCAGTATTGTTTTGCAGGGGTTTAGAAATCCATTGTTTCCATGTTGAGCTACAGTTGGTGTCCTTGGGGCCGACTATTTCATCTGAAAGGGGATTGGTTTTCAGTCACTTAAATTGTGGTGATATTTTAACCATTTGGAATTGTTTAATCTTTTTTTTCAGGTACAAACGTTTCATCCACTTTTCTAGAAATGTTTTTTTCTGTCAATTTATTTCCATAGTTCTCCTTTCAACATTTATATTTGATAAAGATTCTGTTTTGATCACTGGACAGGTGTCCTACCCGATGTCTTAGAGTATTGGTATTTTCGCCAAGCAGGACCTGTTACCATGATTAATAGAAGTAAAAAATTGTCTTTAAAAAAGACAACATTCTTTCTCCAACTATTTCCTTATGGGAATATCTTTCTACAGAATATAGTATAAATACAGATCAAGCACTAATCAAAGACGGCAAAGTGAATGTGTGATGCTTGTAAGAAATGTTTCCATTGTCTCCCCCTTGAAGCCTAGTCAGACACATTGATGAAGTAAGGAACAGATCATTCGATATTCTTTAGCCTGGGACTTTGAATTAATGTTAGATATTGTCTCAGCTACAGCTACAAAACTAAGATATTTTTTTAGTTTTAGATTTTCATCAGTGTGTAGTATAATCAATTTTTTCAAGAATTTTGGGGGAAAATTATTTATTTTTTATAAAATCTCAGCAACCCCCCACCTCTGACACTCTGATATATCGTACTCATTGCAGTTATGCCCTGTTTTTACCACTTCCTTATATGGACGTTGTACCTGCCCAGGTGTTTAGTTTCCAATACTATCTTTGGGCCTGTTCTCACTGTAGTGCTATTACAATCATAGTATACTTGGTTTATATATTAATCCTCCAAATGCCCAATTTTGCAAAATGGAATAGATTAAACACCTTATAGATTTCTCTAGGGTCACAGGTGCTGCCATTCCCAGGGTTTCGCTGAAGGGGTACATGTCCAAGACCTACATCACACAAAGTGATTGCTTTGTGAAACTGGAGAGCTTTATTTCATATTTGAAATACCTGTCATAAAAACTGTCTAACCATGCTGATATGTTGTTCAAATAATGCTGATGACACATAGGCTTTTTATCATAGGGGGTGCTTGGATTTTTCTGGAAAAATGTTACCTATACTCGGAAATCCTGGAAATAAATAATATGGCCTCAGGTTCAGCACACATAACTATTTTTTTCACTTGACATGATGTTATGGAAAATAATGCGAGTCAGAAGAAATGGTATGGCTTTGAGATAAGTTTGATTAATGTTTTCAATCACTGACTGGAAAAAATATCCTGTCTCAAACAAAAGTCCCAGAAATTGTCCGCCTTAATTCTGAATATTGGTCGGTCCCAAAAGCCTTATTGATTAGTCATTGATAACACAACCTGATGGGTTGCTGAGTATATTGTTTTTAGGGGAACGCTATATTTCAGGGCATTATCATTTGCAGAAGCCTGAGGTCTTCCATTCACTGCCTGACAAAGGATGGCAGTTGAAAAGAGCGAGGGTTTCTGCAAATGATAGTGCCCTGAAATATAGCATTACCTTTATTATAGCTAAAATGCCTAGAATTTGTTATTAGATTTAAATAAACAACAATATCGGTTTCGAAACATTTACTGCAATGAACACACAACGAATGTCACTTACCCACTTTTACAAATGTGGAAACGTCATAGAAAAAACCAGATGACATCACTATTGAACATCAATATGACATCACCTAACAACAGGTGTTATAATGGCCCATCGTCAAACAATATGAGGGCATAATCAAGTTACAGTGGCCCGCTAATTTCTGATAACATGCGGGCGGTTTAATGATAATTCTATCCAATTTATCTATAATAAATATTATGACATCATGAAATAAGTGACATGTATAATGCCCACAGTACAATCCCACAGAAAGGTCACATGACAATCATAACCGTGATTGAGAACACGGCAATCATGTCAAGCTTCATATACAAGTTATAGGCTTTGGCACCCACCTATCTATACATGTATATCGAATCAAAGTTGCCTTTTGAACTTTCAAAATTACTGCTCATATTGGGTGTTACTGATCTAAGAACTTGAGAGGAATACATGTGTATTTGGCAGCCCCTGAAAGTCTATGCTATTATAGAAACTGTTGCAATATTAATATGTTTTCTCGTTTATAAATGTTGTGTTTCTTGCAATTAAGTTTTGGGGTGTGTATGGTACATAATATATCTCAAGACTTCTAAAGTAAGTTCTTTTTCTTTCCGACATCAAAGGTATGAACTTCTCCCTAACTTATCATAGGCTTGACCAGGCCTTGTTGATGTTCCAGGACTTGACCAGGCCTTGTTGATGTTGCAAGACTTGACCAGGCCTTGTTGATGTTGTAAGACTTGACCAGGCCTTG